CCCTCAGAGGCACTGCTCCGCGCCCGGCACCCAGACAGCCGCCGCCGGACCTGCTGCTCCCAACATGGCCGCCACCACCGCCGGCCCTCGGCTCTTTCCGCCGGCAGGAGCCGGAAACATCCGAAGCGTCTAGGAACTGGAGGTGGGGTATGAACCTTCTCCTCTCCGCGAGGGTGAATTCCGGAAACAGCCGAAGAATGAAATCCCCGGGGACACACGCGCCTCCTGTATTCCGAAGAAGGAGCTTCGGCTCTATTTACGGAAACCCACGAAGTGACTCCGGGAACTCCAAAGCCATTCGGCCACGCCCACCAATTTTCTCCGCCCACTTTGAACTGGCTTTCGGCTGTTTCCGGTAACACCCGAAGCCGCTCAATTTGCAGAGTCGGCCACGCCCCCGTCCCGTCGCTCTGTTGAGGGCGGCTGTCGGTCATTTCCGGCAACACCCGAGGCCAGCCGAGCTCCGCGTCAATTCTTCGTGAGGTTTCCAACGATTTCAGTCTTCGTTTCTCTTTATCAGTTTTTGGGCATTTTCAAACGTTTGACCAGGAAGTGTGGGTCACCGGTGCGTGTTATTTGGCTGAATAGAAAAATAAAGCTGTTAGCAGTCTTTTTCATTGTCACCCTTGGGTTCTAAAGCAACTTCCTGTCTGCGTGTTTATTGGACTGTCGGCCAGCTCATAAAAATCCATCTTCTGTTCATCATTGAGGTTTTCTATCAACATGTGTGGCACCTGCCAAACGCCGCGTCAGTCTATTACCTGTCTACCTAACATCCGCCTGCCCTTGTCTATCCTTGTCCCCTGGCCTCTAGTGTGCAGGGACAGGCACCAGGCCAGTGTGCTTTGCAGCAGGCTGGCAGGAAGGTCCGGAGCCTTGCGTTTCAGACCCATCTCTGCCAAATGAAAATGCTGTGTGTCTTGGGGAAAAAAATCACACATCTCTGAGTTAAGGCTCCTCTGCTCTATAATGAAGGATCCATGCCTCTGTTTCAGAGCTGACATTTGAGATAACATTTTTGAATTCCAATTACTTTTTAAGTGGCCCATAAGGTTAAGTCAGGAGAGATACTCTCAGCCTAATTCACATTTCAGCTATCCTTTCTGAGGCAGAGGAAAGAATTTGTTAAAAATAATGATTTTGTGGCTCAGTGGTATAGAGTACACGCTTAGCATGCACAGGCCCCAATTCAATCCTCAGCACTGAAAAAAAAGACTTCTCAAAATGACATAATGATGGGCTTCTATTAGATGAAGTTATTGGATTTGCAAGTCCTGAGGTCCTTCTCAGCTTTGGCTAGCTCCTGACTTTTCTTTTCTGTACCGGAGATCGAATTTAGGACCTTGTGCTTGCCAGGCAGGAGCAGTGCCACTAAGCTAAATCCCCAGCCCTAAAGAGCTCCTGACTCTTAACAGAAAGTCTGTAGTGATGGAGTGTAGTCCTTACTTCCCCCAAGACTGTCCCTCTAAGGACAGGCCATACCCTGTGTGGATTTCCAAGTGGCATGGACATTCCAAACTGTCCCACCCATATCATTTGATCCCCTCCCCAGGGCTCAACCTAAAGTGGGGATAGCCAGAGTTTCCACAAGAGCTGGAGACCGGGCCAAGGCAACAAGTCCTCAAAGGTACAGAAGAGGAAGCCTAAGGATTTCGGGGAAAGTCCTTGTCTGACCTTTAACAATAGACTTTAAACTCCCAGATACCATATTCTGAGCTGATCCTTCATCACTTCAATCAGAGAAATAACTAAAGAAATGCAAAGAGAAGGATAAGTAGGCTGGGTGTGATGGCGCACACCTGTAATCCCAGCACTCGGGAGGCTGACTCGGGAGGATCACTGTGAGTTCGAGACCAACCTGGGCTACACAATGAGCTCCAGGTCAATCTCAACTACATAGTGAGACCCTGTCTCAAAAAAAAAAAAAGAAAGAGAGAAAGAGAGAAGGGTAAGCAAGTGCTTTCTAGGCAACAGGTACCACCTACAGTTTTAGTAAATCTACAGCACTCCAAGATTCCTCCTCATGCCTCGCCCCCCTCCATCCTGGCACCCACCCAATGAGGAAGAAGTTGGTGAAGCCTCACCTGAGAGAAGGGAAAGGCGGAAGAGGACAGCATACATTCTATTCCCCTCCCCAAATTCAACTTGGAAAAATCTGTGAGAATAATATGCCCTCTGGTGGCCAAAAGGAGGGACAGTTCTGATTCCTGCGTTTGATACCACCTCCAAGGCTGAGATCTGGAGAGCAGGGAAGAGAGGAAGGATTTAAGGAACAAGGGCAGTCATATTCAGAGTCCCTGCCAAGCCCATGATCTCACGATCAGCCTTCCACTGTGCTTCTCTCTTAAGACCTAATCCAGCCTCACCCCTGCCTTCTCCCCTTTCAGACGCACCCCTACCTCTTCTTTCCCCTCCTCTTCCTCACTAACTGCGCAGAAGGCTGCCTAACCAGTCTCTCCGCCCAAACTCCCTCCAACTCAGCCACCAGAATAATCTCAAAATCCAGCTCCAGTTACATATCTGCTGTGCCGGGAGACTATCCCTGACTCCCTATGGGCCTCTGGGCAGGGCTGGCTTAATGGGTTTATGATCTGCTCAGACACACCAACCCTTATGCTCAGAAGAGCTTTGAATTTGGTTAATATATCGCTGCTACTGTCCTGAATTTTTTTTTCCATAAGACCTTCATTTCCATTTTGCACTGTGCCCCATAAATTATGTAGTTGGTACTAGCTGTGAGAGAAGCCTTTAGCCTGCATTCAAAGCTTTGCTCAATCTGGCCTCAAATTACCTTGCTTTAAAAAAAAAATTATGTAGCTAATATCCACTCCGAGTAAGTATTATCGATTGACCCTTTTCCCTAAGCTGCGCCCCACCACCAAATGCTCTCAGCACTGTGACTGCTCAGGCTAACGAGTTACCTATCTCAACTTCCAGATGGACCTCAAGATACAGTTCGGATGTCATTGACTTACATCCCTGAAACCACCCAGTTCTCCTCAAAGGTAAATAATTGCCACACATTTACCCGTCTCTAAATTTGCGCTTACTGTGTGCAAGGCCCACATCTAGGCTCTGGAGGAATTTCAGTGAATAACGTAGAGATCTACCCTCGGAAGGGTTTTCAACAAGGGGAGAACAAACAACAAACATTACAATAAGCATTAAGTGTCACAGATAGACCTAAGGTGGATCAAGATCCAACAAGTGAAAAAGGAAGACAAGTTGCAGGGCTTTGTGGTTTGGTTTTGTCGTCCTTTCTTTGGTGCTGAGACCTGAACCCAGGGCCTCCAGCTTGCTAAGCGTGTGCTCTACCACCGAGCTATATGCCTGCCCCCAAGTTGCAGCATTGAAATAGCATGGATGTCACTAGAAAGTGACATTGAGTGAAGGCGTGAAGAAGAAGGTGAGGGCAAGAGCTCTGCTCTGCAGCTATCTGGAGAAAGAACATTCCCAGCAGAGGGTGTAGCCGGGGCGAAGCCTACTTAGCCTGTTTGGACAAGGAAGCCAACCAGACTGGAGCAGAAGAAGCAAGCAGGTAGAAGAGGGTAGAGAAGATGACAGGAGCCAGGCCGGCTGTGCCTAGGCTCTGGCTTTCCCTCTGAGTGGAAGGAGTGGCTGCTGAGTGAAGGGGCTTTCCCAGAGCAGAATCCTGGTGACCAGGAAGGAAGCAGCAGCAGCAGGAGCGGCGAGAAGGTGCTCTGGGATGTGTTAGTATGTTAGAAAGGTAGAGCCGCGTGTGGGCTTTCTGGATGGATTGGTGGGGGTTATGGGAGAGAGAAGAGTGAAGGATGATACTAAGCTTTCTGTTCTGAACGACTAAAAACAAAACAGAGAAGTCAAACAATTCACACAGACCTCAGACTTGGTAAAAAAAAAACAAAACAAAAAAAAACAAACAACCAAGACAGTCAGATGCAGACGCACACACCTGTAATCCCAGCTACTCAGGAGGCTGAGGCAAGAGGATCTTGAGTTCAAGGTAGGCCTGGGCAATGTACTAAGATCCTGGCTCAAGGTTTTAAAATTTAGGTCCAGGGATTTAGCTCAGTGGTGCCTCTGCCTGCCTCGTAAGCGCAAGGTCCCAAGTTTGATCCTTGGTACAAAACAACAACAACAACAAAAGATGTTTGTTTTTTTTTTTTTAATTGTAAAATGGACTAGGGTGGTAGCTCAGTTTGAAGGCCCTGGGTTCAATCCCCAGCACTACAAAAGAGGAGGAGAAGCAGGAGGAGGAGAAGAAGCAAAAAGAGGAGAAAGAGGAAAAGAAAAAGAAAAAAAGAAACTAGCCAGGCGTGGTGGTGCACACCTGTAATCCCAGCACTTGGGAGGCTGAGGCAGGAGGATCACTGTGAGTTCGAGACCAGCCTGGGCTACGTAGTGAATTCCAGGTCAGTCTCAACTATGCAGTGAGACCCTGTCTCAAACCCCACCCCCCAAAAAAAGAAACTAACCAATAGGACCTGATCTCTAGGGCAGCAGCACTGCCCACTGGGATTATGAAATTCCCTGCTCTAATAAATACAAGGGACCTGGGGACAGCTCTTCCCCAGCACAAGCCACTAACAGGGAGGCAAAAAGCCAAGGGCAGGCAAAGGTGGTGGATTAGAAGACATTTTTTCTTTTCTCTCTGAAACTTTGTGACTCTTTTCCTCTCTCCTCCTAACCATCTGAGATTCAGGGGCAGGGGAGCAGTCTGGAATGGCCTTGTGATAGAGTCTGATACCCCTCCTGCTCCTGCCTTCTGCCTTGCCAGAGAGAAACCTTTCATCTAGCAGAGCTTTACTCTTTGGACCTCCGTGCATTCTATCACCCATTGTATCACCAAAGACACATCCCACCCCTTACTTAGGACATCTCAGAGACGTTAGAAAGTGAAGGAAATTTGCGAATTGGTGGTAGACTGTTTTCATAGGTATCGCCTGCCCCAACCTTGACGGGGCCATGTAAACTACACAAAGGGGAGGATTTCTGCTCTTCTTTTTCTCTATTGGTTTTGGCTAGCATGGCTTGAGAAGTAACTACGTACTAGGTGGCATTATTGCATTTTACTATTTTATTTATTTGGGGGGCTACCGGGTATCAAACTCAGGACCTTGTGCTTGTGAAGCAGGCTCGGTGCCACTGAGCTAAATCCCCAGCCCTCCATTTCACTTTTTACTATGAAGCAAATTGAAGTTCAGAGAAACTCGGAGGGAGTAGAAATAGGAATGACGTGAGGTTTGGGAGCAGAGGGGAGCAGGCAAGCACATGGAGGACCTGCAGACAGTTTAGATCGGGTGCCCACTCTGCTCCTTAGTAACTACGTGATCTCAGGCAAGTCCCTTAATCTCTCTCTACCTCCCTCAGCTTTCCCATCCATTGAATTGGGATAATAATAGTACCCACCTCATAGGGATGA